TATATATATATATATATATTATATGATTCGTGTAAACAAAGTCAAGCGCCCCAACGGCACGTTTTTCTCTCCTGTAGGCACGACGACCCCTCATCCCTTTAAGAATATCGTAGAGAATAACACGATAAGTTTGAGATTTTTAAATCAGGAGTCGACTGTAATGATCACTACTGTTAAGGATATTATATATATTTTTTGTAGAAACCAAAGACCATATACACACGCGCGAGTAAACTCAACACATGCACGTACACATGCGTACATATGCACGCACGCAGCACGCACCGACATAAGACATATACATCATACGGATCGTTGAACGAGCACGTCGCGCAGTTGCGGCAAAAAAGCGTGACCTTTGCGCCGGTTTTGAGCGGACTTTTCACACGGATAAGTAATGCGTAGTCGCGAGCGACGTGTAGGATCGACAAAATTGAGAAAAAAAAGAGATTATAATTATTTGAAAGATAACTTATTACTCAAAAAGCTTCAAAGAATTGATATTTTAAAAATCATTTTTAATTTTGCTAAGGTGGTAAGTACGTGCTAATCGCGAATTATATGTCGAGATACCAATCATTATTGTACAGAGGACTTTCTTGCTTATTCGTGATAATTAGCGCAAGTCGGCACGTGGACACTTCCTCGACAGCCCGATGATCACGCTCGTTCTCCCGTTCCGTTCGACGCATTCACCACGCATCCGCTTTACAGCGGAAGTCATACTAGTTCTCGTTCGTCGTCGGGTGGAACGCGCGGGAGAAGATTATCACGAAGGCACAATTAGCGTTGGGCGTCAGAGATTTTTAATGAGAAATTACATTCGTAAGCGCACGCGCGTTCTTTGATTTAATTACCGTGTTAATCATTGATGCTTCAACGGCACGCGCTACAGATTTCATGCGTCTCGAATTTATTCAGCTTGCCGGATAATTTTGTAGATTGAAAATTATTTGACAATTCTACTTAATCCGACAATTTCTAGTCACATTCGAAAGAGATGCGTTAGTAAACCAAATATTGAAATAAATAAAACAGTAAATTAAATGACGAATATAATAATGTCATAAAATATTCTTTCAATTCATTAGTGTCGATCCAAAGCGTGCTCGCAAAATCGAAATTGTTATTGATCCCAGTCAATTGGTAAAATTTCTGAACCTCTCGCGCGATGTTCCGTCCGTGTCGATAGCCTTTTATCAAATAATTAAACTTTATTATTTTTATCGCGAAAATTATTTTATCTCTGTTGTCTGTGTTACACTCTTTTGCACTTGAATTTGATTTATCATAAAATTAACGAGGTTGCAACTGACATTTTTAAATTGCTAATCAAATCGTAATTATGATATCTATTGCTTGCAATTATAAAGTGCCACGACAACAAAATGAAGCCCTGCAGAAAGGAAAAATGCAGACGCTAAAAAACGTTAAAACGCGAGATTTTTATTTGCTGTAATCCCAGTAACAATTTTATCGGCTCGGCATTGTTAAATGAAAGCATTTGTATCAAGAAAAAGTTTAAGGAATAATTCAGCACGTGCATGCATGAGATATATTTGAATTTCAATTGACCAAACATCGGCTGGATCATTGTGTCCGATGTTCGGTACGATTTTTTTGCCTACTTACTTGTTACTTTATCGCTATTATCATAATGAAGCTGATTATTAATTATTATTCTATTTGCTATTTTCACTATTTTCATTATTTTATCATTATTATTATATTTTATTATTATCATTATCATCATTATATTATTTAATACGTTTATTATTTATTAATTGTAATGATGACCTATGTGTAATAAGTTTTGCCAAAGAATCCGTTGAGAGAGCAATATTGCATAAACGTTTTATAGTCTCCATAGGAGGAAAAGCTGATGAAGAGCACAAAAACAATTGTAATACGGAATTGAATATAGAAGATACGAAGAGAAAAACGACTGTGTGCGGCATTCGAGCGATGAGCGGAATTGCGAATTCGTTTGTTGCGAATTATGTATTTGTTAATCGGAAATTTCGACTCGAACGCCGCAGCCGCGCATTTTTAATCGAGCACACACGACTATCTCATTTTATTTTATTTGTTCCGTGTGATATTCTTGTTCCGTGCGCCGCTCTTGCCGAGTCTCGCTGTTGATACTTGCAAACAAAACTCTGTACATCCTTTTTAAATAAATATGAGGTTTATATATGAAATTTATTTTAACATCTAATACCCTAAATTTTCCATATATTATAAATAATATTTTTAAATATAATATTCGATTAATTGTTGAAGAAATCAAATATAAGCAATCTGCAAAAATATTTTCAAAAATAATACAAGGAAAAAATATCTTTAAAACTTAATATTTCTTCTTTTCTCAAATCATCTAGATACTAAAAATCTATAGAAAATTATTTCCATCCTGCTACTATATTGCATATGTATTATAAAACATAAAAACTAAAGATATAATTATAAATGATATCACTACTATCAATTTTGTTATATGGAGTTATAAATATAATAAACATGAAAATACAAATAAACTTGCTGAAATAAATAAAAGTGAATAAAGCTATTAAAAGCGAAACCATTAAAGCTATCTTTTTTTTTGTAAATATAGTACAATATAAAAATACTTTTTATTCATATCGAGATCGATATTTTGTAAAACAAAGTTACAGCATAAAAATTTATTGATAATTCATGAAAACGTGCGTTTAACGACATCTGTTCCAAATAATGTACACTCTTATGTAAACATATATAGAGAAAAAAAATCAATAATTAATATAATTAAAGAAAAAAACATAGCTATAATAAATTATGAAAGACACTATATAGAGAAAAAAATATTGCATTATATCAGCTATATTTTTATATAAAAATTCTTTGTTTATTAGCGCACTGTACTGATGGCAATGGATCTCTAGTCGTGAACGTGCATTTCTCCCTTATCGGCGTTATGCAATTAAGATACCATATACAATAATGTAAACTTATAGTGTTGTCTCCGTTCTATAAAGATTAACTATTAGATCAATTAGGCGTGGGTAAGAATCAATACAGATAGAATGTAATTATTTTTCTTTTTATATAATATCATTATTATGTTCAATAACATATATATTCCTGAAACATCTTGTAAAAAATAGATATTTACGTATACATAAACAAGCAGAATGAATATTATTTTATGTTTCAATGTCCAACTGCTCCTTATATTCGAAATTGTACAACTGTCTTATCGTTAAATATAATGAAGTAGACATACACTTTATTACTTTTACGTTTATGCTTCATTTATTATAAACGTAACTTTCAGCACCGCCCCGTCCGAAACCTGCAATCACAGCGATCATTTCATTATGCAAATCTGTAATATTAGAAGTGCAGTAAATATTACTTAATTTGGAAACAGTATAAAGAGCAATGAGATACACACATAAATGGGTGGAATAAGGAAGATGTATATTAATTTAATATATTAAATGCAGGACGGCGATGTTCTACGAAGGGTTTTGAATATGAAACAGTTTTAGAGGAAACGAAGCGTATCGCTCGAACCGAGACGAAAATTTCCATTTACCTCCTGGACCGAACAGGGCTGAATAGCAAGGGTGATTGCAGTAGGGTTTCCCTTCGTGCTCGGCATGACCCCCGGGTGTTAAGGTCTTATTGCATTTCTCGCAGCGTAAACACGAACCGTGCCAATCTTTGCCTAAGGATGTCTTCCTCTCGGCTGCAACACAAGATGAATGTTAACGCGCGCGTCCCGGTGTAACATAAAAGGCGGTACACCGCAACGAAACTAGTCACGCTTTCCATATTAAATTTTATGTTTCTACGGTAATGTGGTATTTGTATTAGAATATCATTTCCTTCCTTTGCCGCAAAGATCGCTGCAAGAAATAGAAATTAGTAGACATGCATATTATTCAAAAAGAATGATGAAAAAATATTTTATGCTAATATAATATTAATGGAATGATATCTGAAATAAAATAAAATAATTAAAAATCTGAAAGGCGAACAATACAATGAAAAAATATTCTTATTTAATACAATAAAAAAGACTAATTTATCTAACATTATATTAACCATCGTTTATTTTCAAGAAAACTTAAAATGAAAGA